TCTTGCCATTGTTTTTTTTGGGGGGGGGCAGGGGTAGGGGGTGGGAGGAGGGACTGGGGGCCAGGAGTTGAGGCTGCTCTGCTACATGGGGCCTGAGCAGCTGCCTTCCCTGCTGGGAGGCTGGGAGGCTGGGAGGCTGGGAGGCTGGAGGCTGGGAGGCTGGAGGCTGGGAGGCTGGGAGACTGGGAGGCTGGGAGACTGGGAGGTGGGAGTGCCCAGCTCCAGTTCATGGCTCTGCCCTCAAGGCTCTGCTTGGGCTGGGATGACCCTGGGGACCTGGGCACAGGATGGGCAGAGGCCTGAGGCCAGAGAAGCCAGGAGCTGGGGGGTAGGGTGCAGCGTTCCCCACGAGGCTCTCACCTCAGGCCTTGAGGGTCTGGTCACAGCGTTGGGGTGATTCCCTTACTGTGTGTGGAGGGGGTGCTGTGGGAAAGGGGAAGAGCCCGCAGGCCCCAGACTCCTCAGAGCCCGGCTTGGCTCACCCGCTCCCTGCAGGGCCCAGCCAGGCTCCCCGGGGTCTGCACTGCGGGCTGCTGGCATGCTTCCTACCTGTGGTCCTGGGCGTGCAGATAGAATGGAGACAGAATGGAGACAAAAACCTATTATCCCGATAGAGATCAGGGCCAAGGGCAACAACACGGAGCCTGTGCTTCTGGGTGGACAGAAAGACGGCACTGAAGTCCGCCATTGTTTTTTAAATATGTTTTTATTGATTTCAAAGAGGAAGGGAGAGGGAGAGAGAGATAGAAACATTGATGATGAGAGAGAATCATCGATTGGCTGCCGCCTGCACGCCCCCCACTGGGGATGGAGCCTGCAACCTGGGCGAGTGCCCTTGACTGGAATCAAACCCTGGACCCTTCAGTCTGCAGGCTGAGGCTTTATCCACTGAGCCACACCAGCTAGGGCTCCCTTGCCGTTTTAAAAAAACAGATTTACCCCGTATGCACTTAACTCTTTCATTCGGCGATTATCTTTTGAGAGCTCTCCCTGCTCCCAACACTGGGGTCACCAAAGGGAAACCAATAAAGTCGGGGTGTTTGGAGAACTTATATCCCACCGGAGGTAGACAATCAACAAGAAAGCAAATGCACAGGCAAGCATGTCCTGAAAGGGGAGAAGTGTTGGGAAGGAGATTAAACAACAGGAGTGCAGGAGTAAAGAGGGGAGAGCTATGGGCCGCCAGGCCAGGTAGGGACGGGCAGGGCACGGTGGTATTTGAGCTGAGACCTGAAGTGTGAGCAGGGAACAGCACTCCAGGCAGAGGGAACAGCCAGTGCGAAAGCTGAGGTGGGGATAGCTTGGTGTGGGCAAGAAAGGGATGGGAGACCTGTGGTTGGGGCGGAGCGAGCCCGGGTCAGAGCAGAAGGTGGTGCGGGGGAGGGCAGGCAGCGGCTGAGTCGTGTACACCTCGGCCGTTGTGAGGAGCGGGGTTTTAGTCTATGGGCCAGACACACACTGCAAGGTTAAGTAAAACCAGTCATGTCACTGGTTTCACTTTGTCCCCTCCTCTGTCCTGTGCTGTCTGCCTTGGTTTCACACTTCATTCTGGCTGTGATCCCAACTTTCTAAGTGGCCTTACTACCTCCTGTCTCTCCCCATCGTGCCCAGCCCCTGTGACCTGGAACCTCCCCCCACCCCCCATTAAAATCCCAGATCCTTAACTCGATGTGACATTCACAGCCGACTGAGGTCTCACCCCTGCCCACTAGTAGGTTATCATTCAACTGAGCATTTAATGAGCACCTACAGTATGCAGGCTCCTTGGGGGAAATGAGAGAGACAACATGGAAACAGCCCACTCCTTTCGTGGCTTCCCAAGTCAAGAGTCTAGTCCAGCCGTGGGCAAACTACGGCCGCGGGGCCAAGATCCAGCCCGTTTGAAATGAATAAAACTAAAAAAAAAAAAGACCGTACCCTTTTATGTAATGATGTTTACTTTGAATTTATATTAGTTCACACAAACACTCCACCCATGCTTTTGTTCCGGCCCTCCGGTCCAGTTTAAGAACCCATTGTGGCCCTCGAGTCAAAAAGTTTGCCCACCCCTGGTCTAGTCATTGAACAGCCAGGTTGATAAATGTCAGCTCGCAGCCGAGACAGGAGCACAGAGGGTTCCCGTGTTCTGAGGCTAATACAGGAGCTCTGAAGTGGTCCTGCCGGGTCAGGGATGGGGTCTGGGGTGGTTTTTTTTTCTGGGGTAGCACTCCCACTTGTTTAAGCTCCATGCTCCTGGCAGACATGATTAATCCAGCACCGCACTCTCTTATCCAGCCTGGGAGTCCTCCCCACAGCTCTCCTCCAGGCAGACCCTACCAATCAATAGGGCTCTAGTCTAGAAACCTGTGTCTGTTATTCCAGGACTCTTAAATAAACCACAAGGGCCCTGGCCAGTATGGCTCAGTGGATAGAGCATCGGCCCGCACACCAAAGGATCCTGGGTTCGATTCCGGTCAAGGCCACGTACCTCGGTAGCAGGCTTCTCCCAGGCCCGGGCCCTGGTTGAGGCTCGTGCAGGAGGCAACCAATCGATGTGTTTCTCTCACATCCATGTTTCTCTCTGTCTTTTCCTCTCTCTTCTACGCTCCCTAAAAATCAATGGAAAAATATCCTCGGGTGAGGATGAACAACAGAAAAACCTCAAGGGCCATATCAGCAGAGACCTATGTAAGGCCACCCAGCCACATCCCCAGGGCTCAGCAGCCACACGTGGCTAATGGCCACCAATGTCGGACAGGACAGATCTAGAGCGTTTCCATCACTGCAGCCAGTCTTACTGGACGGTTCTGCTCTAAAAAGCCCTAGAGCAAGCATGTCAAACTCACAGGCTAACATGGGCTGAATAAACAAGGTTTAAGTGGATGTGGCTGCAAAAAACACAAAAGCTTCCATTTTCATAGAAGCGTAGGTTTATGTCGATAGAGACATGCTAAATACAAAGGGCTGAAATAAATGAGTCCTCGTTAACATACAATAATAGAACATCTTAATAAAAATTAATATTTTTTCTTGAACACGAACTTACCAGACACTGAATAACCGCACAACTTCATAAGCATCACATAAATCTATTTTTCTTGTTCTCCGAAAGCGAAATATTTCCCGTTGCACACACCAAACAAGTCAGTCCAAGACTAACGATGTGCCCATCGACTGCTAGAATCTTCGCTGCTAGTATTAGTGGAGAGAAATGGTGCGCCTGCGTGTAAGACACATAAGGGAAATGAATGCAACACAATGATAGTCATCAGTCATTAGCGAATGTTGTAGTTCCTTATTAATAATTATGTATAACAGGATATTGTAAAAATTAAGTTACGAAATTTTTATTAAAATGTTTCTTACATGCCGTTATATTGGCTGGGCTGCAAAAATATTGGTTGTGGGCTGGATGCGGCCCCTAGGCCGTGAGTTTGACATGCTTGTCCTAGAGCATTTACAGGAAAAGAGCCACCTGTTACCCCAGGAGAGGATATAAGTAGTTCTTGGGAAAGTTGGTTCAGAGGCCATTGCTTGTGCACGGTTTCAGAGTGGAAGGCAGAGCTGGGATTTGAACCCAGACCCGGCAGCGCTCAGATTCCCGGTGCTCAGCCTCTCTCCCAGGGTGGGAGGGCTTGTCGGAACTGAGTAAGAGCTGGGGGCCTTGGAAAGGAGTATTCCCCAGCCTCAGGGAGCAGCACGGGCAAAGGTTCGGAGGCTTGTCCACGTGAGAAACATGCAAACCTGTAGAGAAGTTTGCTATGCTTGTCCTAGAGCATTTACAGGAAAAGAGCCACCTCTTACCCCAGGAGAGGATATAAGTAGTTCATGGGAAAGTTGGTTGAGAGGCCATTGCTTGTGCACAGTTTCAGAGTGGAAGGCAGAGCTGGGATTTGAACCCAGACCCGGCAGCGCTCAGATTCCCGGTGCTCAACCTCTCTCCCAGGGTGGGAGGGGTTGTAGGAACTGAGTAAGAGTCGGGGCCTTGGAAAGGAGCATTCCCCAGCCTCAGGGAGCAGCACAGGCAAAGGTTCGGAGGCTTGTCAATGTGAGAAACATTCAAACCTGTAGAGAAGTTTGCTTAAGCCAGTGGCCGGCAAACTGCGGCTCGCGAGCCACACACCGCTCTTTGGCCCCTTGAGTGTGGCTCTTCCACAAAATACTGACTTCTGCGCATGGGCCACGAAGT